TAAAGGGTGATATTGACCTCAAACAGTAATAATTGGAGACTTCAACACCTCACTGTAAGCATTGAACAGATCATCTAGAAGAAAATCAACATGAAAACATTTGATTTATACCTCTCTATAGACCAAATGGACCTTACAAGTATTTATAGGACATTTCATTCATTAATTACAGAATACACATTCTTCTAATCAGCACAAGGAGCATTCTCCAGGATTGACCACATGTTAGGACACAAATCAAGTCTCAACAAATTAAAAAAAAATTGAAATCATATCAAGTGTTTTTCCTGACAGTGGACTAAAACTAGAAATCAATAGTATCAAGAGAAATTCTTGAAACTGTACAAATACTTGGAGACTAACCAAATATTCTCCTGAATGACCAGTGGGTCAAAGAAGAAATTAAGAAGGAAAACAAAAATTTCTTCAAACAAATTAAAACAGAAACACAACATACCAAAACTTATGGAATACATGCAAAGCAGTACTAAGAGGGAAGCTCAAAGCAATTAATGCCTAAATGAGAAATAGAAATATTTTAAAGAAATAGCCTGACAACACATCTTAAGAAACTAGAAAAATGGGAATAAACCAAACCCAAGATTAGCAGAAAGAAAAAATAATAAAGATCAGAACAGAAACAAATTCAATTGAGACCAAAAAACAATACAAAAGAGAGACAAAGCAGAATGTTGGTGTTTTGAGAAGATAAACAAAATTGACAATTCATTAGCTACACTAACAAGAAAAAGAAGACATAAATAAAATTAGAGATGAAAAAGGAGACATCACAACTGATACTACAGAAATACAAAGGAATTATTTTGAACAAATATTTGTCACCAAATTGGGAAACCTAGAGGAATGAATAAATACCTGGACACATATAATCTATCAAGATTGGATCAAAGAGAAATAGAAAATCCAAACAGGGGCTGACCCCATGGCTCACTTGGGAGAGTGTGGCGCTGGGAGCACAGCGGCACTTGGTGTGACGTGGCCGCGGATTTGGATCCTCTGTAGGGATGACTGGTGTGCTCACTGGCTGAGCGCAGTGTGGGCGACACCAAGCCAATGGTTCCGATCCCCTTACCGATCACAAAAAAAAAAAAAAAAAAAAAAAAAAAAAAGAAAGAAAATCCAAACAGACTGACTATGAGTAATGAGATTAAATCAATAACAAAAAGTTTCCCATTAACGTAAAGCTCAGGACTGGATGACTGAGCTACAAAGCTCTACTAAACATTTAAAAAATATTTAATATCAATTCTTCACAAACTCTTCCAAAAAGTTGAAGAGGAGGGAGCTCTTCCAAACTCACTCTACAAGGCCAGCATTAACCTGATACCAAAAACAAACAAGGGCACAACAAAAAAAGAAAACTATATGCCAATATTCCTGATGAACATTAATGAAAAAATCCTAAACAAAATGTTAGCAAACTGAATACAGCAGCATATTAAAAGATGTTTCACCACAATCAAGTGAGATTTATCCCAGTGATGCAAGGTCAGTTCAACATATGCATATCAATATATGTGATATATCACATCAAAGAAATGAAGGACAAAAACGTATAATCATCTCAATTGACCCAGAAAAACATTTGATAATTTATCTTTATGATAAAAGCCATCAGCAAATTAGGTATAGAAGGAACATACCTCAACAAAATAAAGGCCATATATGACTAACTGACAGCTAATGTCATACCGAATGGGGAAAAGCTGAAAGCTCTTCCTCTAAGAACAGGAACAAGACAAAGATGCCCACTCTCTCAACTCTCATGCAATATAGTACTGGATGTCTTAGCCAGAGCAACTAGACAAGAGAAAGCAATAAAGGACATCTGAATTGGAAAAGAGGAATTCAAATTATCCCTGTTTGTAGATGACATGATATTATATGTAGGAAAACCTAAAAGCTCCACCAAAATATTTTTAGAACTGATAAATGAATTCAGTAAGGTTGCAGAGTACAAAATCAACATACAAAAGTCAGTAGCATGTCTACACACCAATAATAAGCAAGATGAAATATAAATCAAGAAAGCAATCTGATTTACAATAGCTACCGAAAAAAGAAAAAACTAGGAATTAAATTAACCAAGGAAGTGAAAGATCTTTACAAAGAAAACTATAAAACACCGATGAAAGAAATTGAAGAGTATATAAAGAGATGGAAAGACATTCCATGTTTGTCAGTTGAAAGTATTAATATTGTGAAAATGATAATACTACCAAAAGTAATCTACAGATACTATGCAATCCCTATCAAAATACCAATGACATTCTTTACAGAAATAGAAAAAAAAAGTCTTAAAGTACATACGGATCCATAAAATATCCCAAATAGCAGAAGGAATCTTTAGCAAAAAGCCTAAAGCTGGAAGCATAACACACTTGACTTCAAAATATATTACAAAGCTATAGTAACCACTGGCACAGAAACAAACACACAGACCAATGGAACAGAATAGAGAACACAGAAATAAAGCCATGTACTAAAGCCAACTGATTTTCCATAAAGGTGCTAAGAGTTTTTATTTGGGAAAGGATAGTTTCTTCAATAAGTGGTGCTGGGAAAACTGGATATCCATAAGCAGAAGATTGAAATCAGACCTCTATTTTTCACCATACCCCAAAATCAATTCAAAATACATTAAAGACCCAAATTTAAGATCCCAAACTATGAAACTACTAGAAGAAAACATAGAGGAAATATTACACAAAATGTGCGTGAGCTTTTTTGAACAACACTTCAAAGGCACAGGCAACTAAAGCAAAAGTAGACAAACAGCTCTACATCAAACTAAAAAGTTTCTGCATAGCAAAGGACACAATAAATAAAATGAGGAGACAACGTACAGAACGAGAGAAAGTCTTTGCAAACTACACACAAGACAAGGGGCTAATATCCAGACTATGTAAAGAACTCCAACAACTCAACACCAAAAAACCAAATAACCCAATTTTAAAAATGGGCAAAGGACCTGGACAGACATTTCTCAAAAGAAGACATACAATTGGCCAACAGGCACATGAAAAAATGTTCAACATCACTGATCGACAGAGAAAACCACAATGAGATATCCTCTCACTCCAGTTAGAATGGCTATTTTCAACAAGACAGAAAACATCAAATGCTGGCAATGTTGTGGAGAAAAAGAGAACTGTTTTACATTGTTGGTGGGAGTGTAAATTAGTATAGTCATTATGGAAAATGGTATGGAGATTCCTCAGAGAATTAGAAATTGAACTACCCCATGACCCAGCAATCCCACTACTGAGTATGGAAATCTCAGCAATCCCAAACCCAGCAATCCCACTACCCAAAGGAAATGAAATCAATATACTGAAGATACATCTGCACTCCCAAGTTCATTGCAATACTATTTACAATACTCAGGAGATGGAATCAACCTAAATGTCCATCAATGGATAAATAGATTTGGAAAAAGAAAAGGTAGCATAAATACACAATGGAGTACTATTCAGCAATAGAAAGAAATGAAATACTTTCATTTGAAGCAAAATGGATGGAACTGAAGATCATCATGTTAAGTACAGTAAGTCAGGCACAGAAAGACAAATACAACATGATCTCACTCATATGTGGAAGCTAAAAATAAAAATAAAGTGGTTCTCATAGAAGAGGGTAGAATAATGGTCACCAGAGGCTGGGAGGGGAGGGAGGATGCAGGGAAGGGGAAGTGGTGAATTAATGGGTACAAAGGTATGCTATCCACCCTAAGTGAATCAATGTACAGTATATGCATGTATTGAAACAACACACCACACTCCACAAATACATACAAATAAATGTTAAAATAGATTTAAAAATATTCTTTCTGTGAGGATATTATTACCAACTTGCTCTGTGATCAATTCATCACATTCTCTCTCTCAGTTTCTTCATCTATATGATGAGGACTAATGCTGTGTTGCTAGCTGCCCATTTTTCAGGATTTAGATCAATCAAGATATAATCTATAACTTTTATAGAAATATAAATCTAAACTCTAAAAACACTGATATAATAATACAGACTGAGACACGTTTTTACACTTTTGTGTTATCTGGACATGACTGAGGCAAACCGGAAGGACTGAAAATACTATCAAATCAATGTTCATGCAGTGCCCGAATTTTAGATAAATGGATCTATTTTTAGCAACAAAAATATGGCACTTAGATGAGCCCTTCCTTTAATAATGAATGGTTTTCAGGATGACACTGAATTTCACACATAAAAGCACAATTTAGAAAACCTGCAACACAAAGCAATTGGGTAATGTGTAAATTGGCTATTTCCTTTTAGAATCAGTATGCACTTTGGCTCTCCTCATACCTCTGGAACAGAAAACCTGCTGAATCTCTACATCACATCTACATTGGAGAGAGAACAAGAAAGTTAGCCACATGTGACTGTGTGGGCTAAAGAATTCAAATATAACAATCCAACTATGTGTTGTATAATGGGTTATAGTCAAATTATTTTTCAGAAATTTACCTCATCAATGTCAGTGTTTAAAAAGTATTTTAGTCATATACAAATTATTGCCTTGTTGAATAGCCACATTTCTATATATTGGCTAACTGCTTTACTCAGAAGTCTCTCCTTTAACCTCTACCATCTTTACTTTTCTGCACTTTCTCCACATGTTCCTGTAGCATTCACCCATTTATTCCTCTCTTACTGATATTTACTGTCTGTTACCTACTCTCTACTGCTTAAGGATTTTTCTGTGCTCAATGCTATTTTCAGTTTTTCTTTTATTTTACTCTAATGCTCAGTTAGGCTATTTTCTTGTAGAATAGTTTTCTTCTCTTGATTTACTTCCACTCTTTTGCTGTCACTTTTTTAAAAAAATGTGTTTATGAATACAGATGTGAGGGTGACTTTTGTTGTTTTTGTCAACAAGATTATATGCATGTGAACCAAAGAAGCCTCTTAATCTAGTTTTATGCTAAACGGAAATATCTATTTAAATCACTCACTTGAAATCCGAACGTATTATTCTGAGATCCATGCCGTGGCACACCTGGGTTTTCACACGAGGTACGGGTGGGTTCTAAAGTGAGGATTAAAAACATAATTTTCCTTTAAAATTTACAATAGGTATATTTCTCTCATAAAAAGTAATTTTAAATGATCTGGGTTTTAATGAAACTGCCCTGGATAATAATAGAGAGTGTAAATGTAATAGCACCTCTTATGGACAAAAGCCTGCTAATATTGAAGCAAGAAATTCAGGTGGACTGCATTTGATATGAATCATGCAATTCTTGTACTTTGAACCCTTCTAATATAAAAGTGCTTAACATCCAACTAACTCTGTGAATACAATGTTAAGAAAAAATAAAGGATATGAAAGAATTACACATGCATGAAACATTTGCTCAAGGACCTTACTAAGTTATAATTTCAGGTAGGGTAATATTCCTCTGAATAAGTAAGAGTTTTTTGGTTTTTTTTTCAGAAACAGGATTTAGTAACTTGGATTTCACTGACACCTGTAGGAGATTTAAGCATAATAATGATAGGGCTGATAGTTTCTGAGTTGGTTGGTTTGTATGACAGGTTTTGGTTGGTTTACCAAATGTGACATTTAACTTTAGGATTACAAAATATACTTACACCCATTTCAAAATCAATATATCTTTTAGATATTTTTGGAGCAAGTTTCGTTTTATATGAAAGTGCTTTATTAACCTAAAGGTCTAAATAAATGTTACTATTTAATAATGCCATTAATCTGAAGCTTTTTTTCTTTTTCATTTTACTGATAATCCAAAGTCAAGTGTTTCTTATGGAAGTTTCTTGTGGAAGTCTAAAATGCTAAAAATAATGTCATATGTTCTATCAGTATTCACTTTCAGTGCATTTTAATTGCTTTTTTATTTTACATTTGTTTTTCATATTTAGCCAACTATCATTTATAGGATAAAGAAATCCATTAAATGTCATTGCTACCTATCAATTACAAAATTAGTGAGCATAATCAGCCTTTAATTAATATTACCTATGCAGTGAGGTGACGAACCACTCCAAGTGCCATCTGCTTGACATATTCTGGTGCTTGATCCCACTAATATGAAGGGAGAATTGCAGCTGAATGAAACCTCTGACTGGTATATGAAGCTTTTGCCTTCTCTTTTTCCTTGGGCAGGTATACCAGGGTCACCACAAAATTTTGCTAAAAGTGAAAAGAAAAACACTATAACAAAGATCTAAGATTCAGCAGAATAAACAACTTACAAAAATGGTGACAACTAATGAGAACATTGCACTAAAGTGACATTACCCATGATACCCCAATAAAAACTTTAGTTTTTTTCTAGCTTATATCTACATGAATAAATACTGAATGAGAAACTCAGTATAACACTCAAAAATCTAGTCTGATTCAGATATTTTCCATGTAGGAGATTACCTTAATGTGTACAGAATTTTTTGTATTTTTGTTGTTTTGTATTGACCAGAAACAAACCCTGTATTTGTATGTATAGGACGCAAAGTTGAAATATTCTCCTGAAAATGCATGTGATTCATAGATAGCTCTGTAAAAAAGAACCAACCCATAATGTTCCAGTTTGTACTCTCTCTCTACACACACACACACACACACACACACACACGGGTAGCATGGGGGAAGGCGAGAAGTCCTATGGGGAAAAAATAGTTCAGAGGAAGGAGATCAAGACTGTACATGTGTGTGGTAGGTGGCAGAAAGTGGGGATGGGTTTTAAATAAAGTGGCAAAGGTGTCTCTCACTGAGAAAAGATTTATAGTAAACAAAGTGCTGATAGCCATGCTGATATTCCAAGGGAAAGCGTAGAGAAAACAGCATCGCCAAAGACTTATGCTGTGGCATGTCCAGCATGTTATAGTAAGAATAAGGAGGCCACTGTGGGGGAAGCAGAGTGAGCATGCAGAAGTGTAATAGAGAGTGAGATCAAATTGTTTCAAATCTAGTAGATAACCCAGGCAAACATACCTATAACAAATGCTTTCGAATTTTTTTTTATTTAGTAAAAAAAAAATTTATAACATACAAATTTATCATTTTAACCATTTTGAAGTGTACTGAAGTTTTAAATGGGCACATTTAACACCTGAAAGCTTATTTCCCTCTAAGCAAACAGAAACCAAACACTTTGAAGTATAAATGTAGCCTTAAGATGATTATAAGTTGGGTGATGATAAAACGCATCATACCACATCAAGACAATTTTGGTGAAAGGGGTACTCTAACTGGACAGGATACCTGCCAGGACAACAGGAATAAACTAGTAATGACCAAGCCAATTGGAGTATGCTTATCCTAATTATAAAATACCTCATTCTTGGGTTCAATGTTTAAAGAAAGACTTTCCCAGAAATTCAAGACTCTAGCATAAACTTGAATTTTCAAGCCTCTTTTTAGTAACATCTTTTTCTCTTTAAAATAGTTAAAATTAAAAGTAATCATTAAATAAACATTAAAACAAAATAGAGGAGAAACTTTCAGAGTAAAGTAATATGGGTAAAATAGCTTTGCTTTACTGTGTTTTGTTTTAATTTTCACCATCTCTTAGATGTTGTAAACCTTAGTGCTACTTGACATCCAAACTCTTCTGGCAATGTAACATCAAACCATAAAGGCCGGAGACCTTGTCTTAATATCTTTGTACATCTAGCACATTTTGAATTCAATAGATGTTTCCTCAGTGAACATCATCAATGCACATTTGAGCTTGAGCAATTGTTTCTATCACTAAGTAATTTCATAACCTATTTCTGATGTGTTTCTTTTGCAAATTTCCACCGAGTCATTCATCTTTATTCAACAATGAAAAGAAAGGAGGGAGACCCAACCACATAAACTCCTCAATCCTCACCCCATCTCTGCATATGTCATTTCATCTGTTTTCTAACTTGGATTTTCATATAGTAAACCAAACACTTATTAATGTCGGGTTTAGATGCTTAAGACACAGGGTTTATTTTCAAATGGCTTCAGTTCACAAAGACATTAATATGAAAGGACAGTGCAATATGAAAAGACTAATATGAAAGGACATACTTTACACAGAATTAAAGAGAAAAGACTTTCCTCTTTATAAAGTCCCTAAAATTAATAAATTTGGCCATTTAATGGATAAGAGCATGGCATTTTATGACTACCTTTTTTGAACTTGAGTCCACAATCTGCCATTCACTAGTAATGTGACCTTAAACCACATAACAATGTAGCTGGTTCCCTAAATGATGAAAGAGTTACACAGTGTTCTCTCAGTTTGATTTTCCTCTCTGAGGTTGTGTCGTTATTTATTAAAATGTTATGACTAGACATATTTACCTAGGAATTCTATTATGTATAGAAGAAATCATATATGTAAAGCAAGTGAGATAAAGTTAGCCCTATTATACCTGGATACTTATTATAATTCAAATGTCAATGAATAAATATTTTATTATTATTGTATTTTGATAGAATCAAAAATAAAACACGATATAAACATAACTTCTTAATTGTGACTTTTTTCAGCCATATCAAAATCACATCAAAAAACAAAAACAGAAACAGCATAAAAAAAATCATAAAATCATTTTTTTACAACTTCCATGACCCTCTCTATTCTGTAGTAGCCAGCGGGTATCTAGTCTTATTCAGAACACATTGTTGTTTTCTACAACAATCCTTAACATGAATCGGAATTTTAAGGTCCAATTTTTGTGGTATCAACATTAAGGCATTGGAACAGACTTATTCTAAAAATCATATCACCTACAAGGAGCTCCTTTGTATGTCACATAAACTGCAGACTAACAGACCACAATTGTAATAATAAATTAGTTTTATCTCTCATGCTCAACCTAACTGGTTAACAATATCTCTCTAGAGCAAATAAATGCATTATGAGTAATCTGATGAGCAAGCAAAATGATGGTATGCATGCCCAGTAATTGTTATCACTTAATAGGAAGCTCTTCAAATAAACTATGCAAAAGTACACCTAATAATTTGTCTTCATAAGTGAGTCATGATTCTACAATATATTTATTAAATATATATTTATTTCATACTAAAAATATGTGTTTCTTCAATAGAATATGTTTATAAAATGTATGAATGATATTAAGTTAGGAAATGAATATCTATGAAGCTAACACTCAACTTAAAACATTGAAAATTGCCAATACTGTTAAAGTTCTTTGTGAGACCCACCGAGACAGCATCCCTTTCCTCAGGCCCAGGACAGGAGATCTTATCTCATCCTGAATTCTAAATTTCTATTTCCATACATTTCATGGTAATTTTACCACATTCAAAGATATATTTATCACTTTTCCATTTAAAATTATATCTCTGGCATCATGTTTAAGAAATATATATGGTATATACAAGGGGTCTTCAAAAAGTTAAAGAAAGATTCATATTATTTTTTAATTCCATTTTTCCACAAACTTTTTGAAGTACCCTTGTGTATATGTGTGTACATGTATATATTTAAGGACTAAATTGTTTAACTTTACCACTAAAATCGATGATGATATTAATAATCTTGTACATGTCTCCCCATGCACATGGGGCATATATCTAAATGTGATTTCTGGGCAATAGACTCTGCACATCTTTAACTTTGCTAAATGATACCAACTAGTTTTGCAAATGGTTGTGTCAACGTATACACCCATCATGAGTGTATAGAAGTTTACATTGTTCTATGTCCTCATCAACACTCAATATTACCTTTTTTTTCCCCTCAATCCGCTGGTTAGGAAAGATCTATTTATGTCTTTTGCCCGTTTTTTTGTATTCTATTTTTTGTTTTAAGAAAGCTTTATATAATCTATATATTATTATTATTTCTCACATATATTGGTTATTTTGTCCAAGTTTGTGATTGATCTCTGACAATGAAAAATTTTTAATTTTAATGTAGCTTTTTCGTTTAAGGTTATACCTTTTGCATCTTGTTTAACAAATAATTTCTTACCCTGAGGTCATTTAATAGACTCTAAATATTTAAAACTTTAATAATAAAGTGTAATAAATCTGGCACTGATTTGTTATTTGTTGTGAGATTGATTTTATGTGTGTGTATTAAGTAATTGCCTGGTAGCATTAATTGAAATATCCATTCCTTCCCCACTGACTTGTTCTGTAATATATCTGTGAGGAAATGGAGTTAGTTTAGTCAGGCCCTCTCGCCTCATATCAGGTGGGGTATGATTCAGCATATCTGTTGTAAACAACTTACATAAGAGTAATGTTAGTGCGCATGTGCGCCCATGTAGCCCTTGGCTTGTTGCTGCTATTGTGTTCTTTCAGTAAGGAAGATAGGAGCTCTGAACAGCTGGCCAGGGGAGCTCACGACTGCAGAACAAAGCATGTCCTCTTTGTTGGCGGCTATTCAGTTTTTTTTTTTTTTTTCCAACTACCCAGCTCAGGACCTGCACGGGATGGGGCAGAGGGGTATGCGATCCAGCCCAACAATATCAAATATCTGCAAATGGTTCTGTGCTCTCTACTCTATTAACACTGGCTTAGTTTATCCCTGCAGCAGTATCAGTATCTGCCAGAGGTACAGCAGTGAACAAAACAAAAAATTGCTGCCTTCAAGGAGTGTAAGTTTAAGTAGAGGACATAGTTCAAATAAGCAAGATAAGAAAAATGTATACATTTTTAAGAAGAAAAAACAGGGATGAAAGAGGACTATAAAATTAAGAACAATAAATAATGCCTGGAAGGGTGGTGTTATATGTTAACATAAGGAATTTTAAATAAGGTGACCACAGAAGACAATATTAGGAAGAGAGACTATTAGTAAAAAGCTGAAGAAAGAAAAGCACATTTCCAGGCAAAGGGAATAGCAAATATAAAAACACTGATGCCAAAGCAAACATGAGTTCTCAAGAAAAGTAAGGAGGCCTATGTACTGAAGTAGAATGTATGAGGAGATGATGTAATAAAATCAGGAAAAAACAAGAAAAAAGTCATAGGAGATGATAGGGGATTTGGTTTCCTCTTGAATGAGCTGAGAAGACCCTGCAAGATTCTGAGAAGCTTAAGGGTTAACTCTGCCTAACTTCATGGCCATGGGGATAGGTCGAGTGCTCTTCCATCCCATGCTGGGAAGGGCAGCGGGGCCAGGAATGGGATAGCACAAGACATTTTTCTGAATGAGTATTGTCCACGTCATATACTAAAAAAATTTATGTAAAACAGAAATGTGATTTTTGTTTTGTTTTATAGTTTCCAAGTTAATCTTGAAAAGTAACACACGCTGGGATATATAGCATACAGAGACCTTTGTAACCAAAAATAATATTGTTTTATCTCTGTTTACTCTGGTAATTTAGTTGTATAATCACCATGACAAATGCCGTCATAAGAACTTGGTTTGAATGAACGTGTAGAAATGACATGGATTTATTTTGGAGAGTGATTTGGGGGTAAATTACAGAGTATTCAGGTGAGATAAATTAGAAATAAATAAGAATAATTTTCCAGCAGTAGAATTAATCTAAGAGGGACTCTACTTTGAGGAATAATTCTGAAAAATAAGAAAAGTTTAGAAACAAAGGAGTTTAGCCTAAAATTTGGAGTCAGAACACAAGAATTGTAACAGTTGGATTACATGAAAAGTAGCTACACTGACAAATACAGATTTTTTTTTTATGAATTTTAATTAGGCATTGGAGGGAATTTAACAATCTCATATTTGTTCTAGCAAAATTTGAAAAAATAAAGTAATAATTGCTATTTAAAACAATTTTAATTATGGGAATTATACTTACGTAAGCACTGTGGTACTTCGCCACTCCAGGTACCATTCCCTACACAGGTCAAAACAGCAGGAAAGGATAGTTCGTAGCCTGGAGAACAGATGTAGCTAATACTAAAGCCCCAGTCAAAATTTGTTCCTTCCAGCCTTCCGTTAGAGATCTGGGGAGGAGGTGGGCAGGTAACAGCTGCAATTACATTAACAGTGATTAGACACAGCTGTTGAAATATCCTGGGTGTAAATAAATAAATAAATATTATTAGAAGAAGCATATGTGCTAATTTAACCTCTTGGAGGACAATGTGGTGTAACACATTTTATTCTCCTGGTAGTATTCCTGAAACAATCCCTGGAATTAATCCCTCTTGGATGCGACTTTTTCTTGGCAGCATAATGGCTACTGGTTGTCAGAGATTCTCTAACAAAATAGCAAGCTGTCTGACACCTAAGAAAAGGCAAATAGAGGGTGATTTTCTATCTAGTATATTGTAACTGATAAATTATTGGTTCTATATAAAATTATTTTCCAGTGACCTTTAGACAGAGAAGAGCTGGCTTGTTTGGCTACATAGAGCATCAGCATTGTAACCAAGGAATTTGTATGTATTTGAAAACACAGATCATGTTTTTAGTTAAAATGTCCAGATTGGTTCCCTTAACTACTTAGATTCATATGTTAAAATGTTTTACTGGATTTGTAAACGCAGTTTCAAATTTTTTAAAATTTATTTTCCTTAAATTGTTTTAAGTTGTCCCCAAGCAAAGATGGATTGGATAAGATAATACAGATTAAAGGAAAAAGAGGGGTAACAACTTCAAAATCTAAAAATGAGGAATGTTTTATTATGATGTCTAGCAACATGTATGAGTAATTTTTTGGAGCTGGCTAACATTGCAATTATCAGTATGAATTAAAGAATGTATAAAATAAATTATAAAATATAGAATTCATATAAAATTTAAAATATTTAAAATTTAAATTTAATAATTAAAATTTAAAAATATTCATATAAAATTTTTAAGTTCATATAAAATTTAAAACAAAATTCATATAAAATATAAAATTCTGAAATATAAAATTCATTTTTTTTCATATACTAACTGTGTACTTAAAGTGATCTGATTCAGAAACTGTATCTTCAAGAGGAAAAAGACAGATATATTATTATTTTTTGTTAGATTATAAGTCAGGGAGATATTAAACTATCAATCCACAGACATTTAAAAAGATGCTTAAATGAGAAACCTCAGTTATTAAAAATAAAAATTATTATAAAACAGTATAAGTTGTCTGACATTGTATTTACAGTATTATTCAAGTAATCATAAAAATTGGCAAAATAAATTATGAAAATATTTCCAATAGAAAAACAAACAGCATTAAGTAGAAAATATATGTCTATATTGATTAAAAAATAATTCTAAATTGCATTGTTTGAAGAAGCAGATTCTCCCATTCTTTAAAAAAGATAACAGTTCTATAATTCAATCTGGCAGTTCCCAAATTATAGGAGGTTTTTGTCTCCATCCATGAATGACTTGTCCCAAGTAGATTAGCAAATTAACATTATAATTCATTAAGGTTACATTCTTTTTTTTTTTTTTTTTGATTAGTAAGGGGATCGCAACCTTTGGCATGGTGTGGTCTGCACCACACTCAGCCAGTGAGGGCACCGGCCATCCCTATACAGGATCCGAACCCGCGGCCTCAGAGCCACCAGCGCAGCACTCTCCCGAGTGATCCATGAGGCCGGCCCAAGGTTATATTCTTTTTAAAATATTCATCAATCAATGTAAATAATGATGGTGATGGTAATTACATATCAAAGTACATGATATTTTTGTTCTTTTGCTTGCATTAAAGTTCACTGTTACTCATAATACAATACTTTTTTTTGTTGAAGTATCATTTTTAAAACCTCTACATGACAACAGGTTTTTTAAAAAACCTGCACCAGCAATTTTCAGTACCAGAAAAAGAAACGAAACTAGGAATGAATAAAACATTATTTAAATATTCTTTAAATACACATATCCAAAATAAGAAAATACATTGTGGTTACCACTTCAAAATGTTGAAAAAACCATTATCATACCTCTGCAAGTTGGCATTACTCCACTCCATGTGCCATTAGTAGTACAAGTCCTGATTCTGGAACCATTCAATTCCATTGTGTAACCTGGCTGGCACATGTAAGAAACATTTTGTCCAACCACATAATCATCTCCATATCTCAGTCCATTAGCTGGTATACCTGGGTCTCCACAATTGATTACTATCAGTATTGGATTAGAAGAGCAGATGGTTAATGCGGCATGTATTTAATGGAGAAGAGTAGTAAGCATATGGCATACTTAATATACAAGCAGGGAAAATTAGTTATCATGTTCATTTTAATCATAAAACATAAGCATATTTAAACCACATACTGGCAATTGCTGATTATGATCAGGTATGCTTATTACGGAATTCTACACATATGCTTCAGAAACTGTCACTTAGACCCTGGAAAAGCTAGGTTAATATGCCATTATGTTGTAGGGAATACTGATGCAGTAATCTTTTCTAACCTGCATTATATGACCACGGAGAAACCAACCTAAACAATTAGATTTCTAACATAATATTTAAAGTCTGCATTCCTACATATGGCTACTGAAATACCTAATTTGTGTGCCTTGCTGGACTGAAAGCTTATTTTCTGCACAGCATTACTCAACTGGAAATTATAATAGTTTTTAATTAAAGTAATGTTGGATCCAAAAAGAATAGTTTTTATTGAATAAATGAACGAATGGATAAAGTATTTAAATGTGAATTTATCACATACAGGGTAAAATACATAATTTGTGGGTTCACCACAAAATAAAAAAGCCACTGTCAGTGGTGGAGAAATCAGTTTCCCAATTCCACCAACTAACTGCCAACCCAGGCAGAAGAAATCCAAGTAACTGCAAACTCCACCCTGGAATGTGCTTGCTACCTGGACTGGAGGTGGGTGATAGGCCTCCCCACCCCAAGTTCTTGCCTAATATGCCATGCATTGCCAGCCCAAGATAAGCACAGCGCTGTTTTGCTCTGTTACAAGACTCCAAGAATATACCCATCTCTGACCCTCCCCACATATGCAACCAGTCCCTACAGGAGGGGTAGAAAAACAGTGCAATGTGAACTTCCCTCTACTGAAGACACAATTGACCTGCTGGGCAGAGGTGTCGGGTCACAGAGCAGAGGTGGAAATGGGGAAGCCAGGCAGAACCTGGGACATGAGACTATGGGGAGCAAGAGACCTAGAACACTTCCCAAGGATGTAGGGAGGTGAGGAGGGAAAACACACATTAGCAAAGGCTTCCAGCTCTCAGCACACACTGCTTTGTCCCAGTGGACTTCAGTTACAAAACACAAATTCAAAGTTAAAATTATAAAGAATTTTGAGATGGCTATTATACAGCATTAAATTTTAAGCATGGGACCCATCTGAGCATGAAGTTCTATTGATTGCAATGGTCTCATACCCTTGAGTGTGATTGCATATATGAGTATAATATTACGATTTATTCATGATGCCATCCCAAAACTTTCAAAGACTTGAGACAGCTTAGAAAATACCAATAATGCAATTTAAAATTTAACAATGAGACATAACAAAGATTATATATAAGCAACAAAAGTACTAAATTTTTAGGCATGGGTTTTAATCATGATTTGGTCAATGAATTTGCCAAAAGCTTTCTGGCAGCTAAGAAAAGCAAAGATACAGGTTACACATTTTGTTTTCTAAGGATGAAAAACCTATATTTGCCTTTTAGTCTACTGTGTCATTTTGTTCACTAAAGGGTAAATAATTTCCCCAAGTAAATCTGGGTTATTTTTTCACTTTCTCTTTTAAATTCATTCTTCCGAGAATTTTGGAGGGCCAGGGTTAAAGACTAAGAATGGATTAAGCATGTAAGACCTTAACAGAACTTCAATTACATTGTATGTATTAATTTGTCATTAAGAATTATGAATGTTAAGATATCCTTCATATTACTGTAATCTGTTAAGCTTAAAAAGTTTTATGACTATAAATAATGACATTTAAATTAAAGAACAATATTCAGGGCACTCCACCTGGTAATTCTTGGAGCTCTCAAGACAGTTTGCTAAAATCAAACCCATTGTATGCTTCTATTTGACTCCTAATTAGAATTATGTATAAATAATGGCTTTTCTTCCTGTGATTATCGATGAGGAAAATATTTTTTTAAATGGTACAACTGAATTGGATTGGAAATCAAATAATCCTGTTCATTTACCAAAAATATGCTATTATTTTTCCAGTTTCAATTTACAACCATATGAAAATGAGTAGAAGCCTTCAATTTATTTTATTTTGAGTTATTTTATATTTTTAACCTAGATGTCTAACTAGGAAGAGGAAATTAAATAGAATACCTACAAGTTGTTGTTATTTTCTGGGCAGTGCTTTATAGGTTGAATTAAAATCTTGGCAAGAAGGACAGCCAAGCCGGTGGTAAGGCACATGAACTGAGATGCAGCCACCAAGCGTGAGGACAGAGGGTTTATTTTACAGATGCATGAAGAAAGAGTTCTGCACATTGCGGCAACATCATGAATGAAATGCCTAACAACAAAAGCTTCAGAAGGATTTGTTTGGTGACTTCCTAATGAAGAAAGGCCAGTCAAAGAGGCAGTTTCCAATAGCAACAGTCTTTGTAAATAGCACCTGCTTCACAAGTCAATTCATTCACTACCAGCTTGTTTTCAGCAACAGAACGAGGCTTTTGGTCTTTTCAGGCCTTAGAATAGTAGCTCTTTAGGGCTTTATCCTAAAATTCACAGTCATCAGTGCATGACAACAAGGTGCTATGCTTTATTGCAAGAAAATCTTCTAAGATCACCAAAATCCCCAAACACACATCATACACGTACGTAGACATATACACACCCACACCAATTAGCCCCATGAAGACAAATATTTTGTCTCTTTTCTATGCCATTGTACTCTAGGAACCTTGCCTAGTGCATGACTTATCTATAAGAGGTTAAATATTTATTTAGAAAATAAATAAGTGAATAAGTATGTGAAGGAATGATTAAATAAATTGCCAGCTCAAATTCTCAAAAATATACAAATTGTTATAAAGGTTTGAATTGGTTTTGTGGGGAGGTTCTCATTAGTCTATTACGTAATTGATGCTAATTTGGCATCAATTTTGATAAATCTAAATAGATCACCTCTACACTAAAAACAAAACATAACTGTAGAAATTCTGGTCAATCTATATGCCATTTATAAACCATTTTCTCTTTTAACTTCTTATATGAGCATTATAAATGTGCATTTTTAAATAAAACCAGATCACATTACTCACACTTTTTAAGCAGAATTCATTTTTTATTCAATATCTAATGGGCATTTTTGGTATGTTAACATACATAGATCCATGTAACTTATTTTTAATGGTGTATTATTCCCTTACATAGCTACACATGCAATCAAATTTATGTAACCAAACCCCTATGGACTGATGTTTGAGTTATTCCATTGTGTTCCTATTATAGACAATGCAGCAAGGAACAGGCTTGCTCAGGTACCACTACACACGTGGGCTTCTATCTTCAAGCCCAGAACAGAATTCTACTGTAGCACAATAAAGTTTCAGAAAGCTGGTGAAACCATTCCTCTTATAATGCTTCAGATTTTACATGATCTCCCAATTCTGAAGTTGATTTCCTTCCCTTTGATGCATACCCAGTAATGAGATAGCTGGATTATAAGTTAGATTTATTTTTAGTTCTCTAAGGAACCTCTACAGTGTTTTCCACAGTGACTATAAATTTACACTCCCACTAGCAATGTAGGAGAGTTCTCTCTTCTCCACATCCTCACCAGCATTTTTATTTTTTGTCTTGTTGATAATAGCAATTCTAACTGCAGTGAGATGGTATCTCACTGTGGTTTTAATTTGCATTTCCCTGATGATGAGTGATTTTGAGCATTTTTCCATGTGTTTGTTGGCCATTTGTACGTCTTTTGAGAAATGTCTGTTCAGGTTCTTTACCCATTTTTTAATTGGGTTACTTTTTTTTTAATTTATTTTATTTTTTTGGCTGTTGAGTAATTTAAGTTTCTTATATATTCTGGAATTTTTATTGCAACACTGTTCACAATAGCCAAGGGAAGGAATCAACCTAAATGTCCATCAACAGATGAATGGATAAAAAAACTGTGGTATAAATATAGGATGGGATACTACTCAGCTATGTGGAAAATGATATCCTATCATTTGCAGCAACATGGATAGAACTGAAAACCATCATGTTAAGTGAAGTAAGTCAAGCACAAAAAGACAAATACCAAATTATATCATTCATACATGGAATCTAAAAACAAAAATGTGGTTCTCATAGAAGTAGAGAGTAGAATAATGGTTACCAGAGTGGGATGCGGGGGAAGGACAAATGGCGGACCACTGTGTACAAAACGATGCTATCTACTATAAGGGAATCATTGTCAATATATGCATGTATTGAAACAACATACTGTACTCTACAAATATGTACAAGTAAATGTTAAAATATTTTGAATAAAAAATGAATAAATAAATAAAAGACCATTCTAAAAAAAAAAATGGTTTCCTTTTTAGATGCCAGGATGGTAGGGTTTCTCAACCTTAACCTCAGCACTGTTGACATTTGGGAGCAAATAGTTCTTGGTTGTAGGGGGCTGAATTTTGCATTTTAGGATGTCCTGCAGTCTTTCTGACATCTACCTGTTAGACTCCAAAGGCACCACCCACCCACGCACTGTGACAACCAAAAATATCTCCAGACATTGCCAAATGTCCTCTGTGGAGCAAAATTAGTCCTGGTTGAGAACCACTGCACTGAAAAATATCTCTTACTCCTTAAGGAGATTTAGATTCTGCTTTAGCTTCACTTCACCCAGTTTCATGCTGGGATATCCCCCAGCCCTCTCTTGTGTGAGACTAGCACCATCTCCATGATCTATCCTCAAGAAATAATCTGTGAGAATTCTCAGTTTTGTGACATAGATCTAGTAAGGGCCATTTCTGTGCTGATTACTTGAGACAAAAAGTCTTAGAATCATTTATCCCCTCAATCTTAAGTATGCCGTCCCTGGCCCAAATGAACAGGACCTGCCAGATGCAGGGTGTTGGGCATTGGTAATTTTGGAAGCAGAAGTCCTGGTCAGTGAAAAAAAAATCATCCAAGGAAACTAATGAGCACATTTCTTTTTAGACCTGA